TATATATATTGTACTATTGTTACAAAATCAGCACTTGGTCACGCTCGTGTCTATTATTATGGCTAGTTCGTTTCAGCTGAAAAAGTATGACTTATGAATTTATTTTCGTCGTCCTTCTCTCCCTAATCAGTTGTCACGCACTCGATGCACGTGCCACTCCAAGTCTGTGCACATGTGGAAGAGGGTCTTGGTTTCCAACAAACCCAGGCGTACTATCCAGACGTTGCCCTCCCAAGGGAGAGGCAACTTGTCTATCAGCGATGTGCCGATTGTTAGATTTTGAAAACCGTAAGTACCCTGTAAAAAAATTAGGCACACTGTTTTTAGGTGTATGGCCCAATCAATACACCAAAATAAATGATTCTAGCTTAGGTGAAATCGTCTATTCTCACAAACATCTTTTTTAACTATTTCGTCGAAGGAAGTACCTACGCATACACTGATATTTCCGGAAATTCCACCTCTTTGTTTTTTCAATGCGGTTTGCCTTCTAGACGCGGTGCCTAAAGCGGCCTAAGCTTACCGTTTTGAAGGGGCAGCTTGGTCGAGGTTTCATCTCATTTAAAGGGCATGCCCATAGGGCGGTGGGGTCGTAAAACCCCTTGCACGGGTTGTTTTCGAATCGCCAGGTGTGGAATAGCTCGCAGGTGTTGGACGAGACGACCTCCCGGCATTTGGTGAGCTGGATCATGAACTAAGAAGGAGCGGTCGCAAACGTTAGCTCCGGATTATACCCCTCCCTCTCTCTCTCTCTCTCTCTCTCTCTCTCTCTCTCTCTCTCTCTCTCTCTCTCTCACACACACATACATACATACATACATACATACATGCATACATACATACATACATACATACATACATACATACATACATACATACATAGCGATAAAAGTGTGAAGATTGTCTCACCGAGTCGATGCCGCGGGCAGAGCGAGTGATGTTGAACTCGAGGGTGATAGAGAAGTCCACCTTGCTGACCATGCCAGTCTGAACGTTGAAGTACCTGATGGCGTTGCCCGGGACGTCACAGCCCGTTACCCCGGAGACTTCGATGACCAGGTGGGACGGCTGCAGAAGGCCCGGGCGACGCTGGGTGGCGGGGCAGTCATGAGGCAATATTCCGTCACCGCCTGCCCGTTAAAGGAGCCGACGGACACGACACAAAGGAAATGGCGCGAAAAAGAAAGGAGCCAGCCCCTATCAAGTGTGCTTGATTGCCAAACATCCGACTTACACTTGGGCGCTTCGACCAGCAGACGGGGTGCATGTTGAAGTGGAGCAGGAGGACGGCGAGGATGCAGAGGAGCATATCACCATGGCGCCGCCCAGGAGCAGGTTGACAAACACACATGCAAAAAGGCACACAAAAAACAACAGCACAGTACTGTCTTGCACCTTGCACACTAGTGCAGACTGTGCAGGCGGGGGAACTACCGTCAGAATGGCCGGAACGCGCAGGCACGACTAAACAAGAGACGTGCCATTGGCACCTTTGGCTTGCTGCCCCCGTGCTCTGTACACGCGCTATTCGTATGGGCGTGCGGCCTGTCGGAGCCGATCGTATCAGCCTCGCTCATTTAGGTGGACTGATCCAAATGGTACTGGACAGGAGTAGTTTTCGATGTAGTTCGATGCGCGTGACTGCTTGCATGCGCTGGTTCAAAATCCCTAATTTTGCTGAGTTAAATATAGCAACTGTTAAGAACGATTATTTTCTTTACCAAATAAGGGAACCTGGAAAGAGATGCATGTTATCTCCCGCACACGTAGTTATTGCGACAATTAATTGGTTTCTTGTTACGATTTCAAGACCGAAAACAAAAATTGGCGATGAAATTTGTTTTTATTGCCTGCGTCCCCACTTAGCTGTCGCGCACTCTGTGCACGTGCATCTCCGTGTCCGTGCACATGTGGAAGCGGGTCTTGGTCTCCATGAAGCCCATGCGCACCAGCCAGACGTTGCCCTCCCAGGGGAGCGGCAACTTATCTACCACCGATGTGTCGATGGTTACATTTCGCATACGGTAGGTGCCCTGCAACAAGGAAGGCACACTGTTTGAAAAAGGTGTGCCAGTCACGGCCTGTCGCGTATAATCCATATTCCAGGTGGCTGATTCACGCCACGCTATTTCGTCGATATACTGTACCGCATTCATGCGGGCGGGTGGGTTGCATACTCGCACGGGGCCATTAATTAGGACAGGGGTCGCAAACTCGAGCCTTCCGCCAAGCCGCGCCTACATAGGCCACACGCTCCACGAGCTCTTGTAGAGTGAGAGAGATAGAGCTACAGGTGCTGCGAGTTTGCGACCCCCGCATTAGGAGCTTCATTAGGACACTGTTAAAAAAGTTGTGAAATTTCACACCAGAATCAGTTGTAAAATTGCAAATGTGGTTGGGAAATTTCATAACATTGTCAATTTTGCAATTAGTTATTAAAATTTATAACGGTTTTCTGAAAATTCAAATCTGTCTTCTGAAAATTAGGAAACATTTGTAATTTTACAATTTGCTATTGTAAATTTGTGATCACTCTATCGGAAATGTGAGATTTGATTGTAATTTTCCGATTGCAGTTTGTAATTTTGCGAAGTAAAACCAAATGAAACAGGACTTGCACAAGTCCTCCATCAGGTTTACTTCAGTACAACGAACCTCCACACCTATAAGACCGTTTTGACTTTGGAATTTCATACGACGAAACAGCAACTGTTCTTCAAAGAACTGCCGCCAGATGGCGTTGTGGCCAGCGCGTCTCTTCCAAGAGCAATTATTAGTATTTAACTAAAATTTGCACAAGAAACTGACGTGTATTTTAGTGCGGTATGAGCTGTAACACAATGCTGTAGCTGGCTACGCATTTGTTTTTGAGCAAAAAGTCATGCAAGTGCCCCAAATAATTGGTCTAATTCCAGCGCGCGCCGGTACCCGCTACCTCCCCTTAGTTAGGTACGGCGCCGTTCGCACCCGTTCAGCAGGGCGCGCCTGTGACGCGCTCCCGGATTTTTGTCGTGACTTTACCCTCAGAGGTAACAGGCACTCTATTGATGTGTTCTCATCATTGCCACCAGAGTGCGCACCTGGTGGCGGTGCCTTGTGTCTGGCCGGCTCCCGCCGTCCCGCCTTTTTGTAAGGAGTTGTGGAATAAACGTTGAAGAGCTCAGAAGTGTGTACTGCCTGATCTTCTCCTAGCTCCCAGAAGAATATCCGTAGGATACTTCAGAATCATTAGAGCTAATATATATTAATGGCGACGAGGAATTTAGCGAACTCAAGTGTTAGTGTCAGTGTACTGTGAGGATATGACTGAAAAAGCTAGTCCTATCATGAAGACCGGTGTTGCGAGCCGTCTGTCCGGCATGATGACCCATCAAATGGGGGAGATCGAGAAGTTTGAACCCTATGGACCAAGCTCGTTTTCACTGTGGTTTAAGAGATTCCAAATATTCTGCAGTGCGAACAAGATTCCCCCGGAACCGTTGGATCCGGAGGGCAATACCTTAGTGGACACCAACCAAAGAAGAGACCTCTTCATGCTCTACATTGGGACGAGGGCATTTGACGAACTCGCCTCTGCCCTGCTTCCCGATGCCATCGAGACGATAGGCATTCCAAGAATGGTGGAAGTTATGAAGGAAATGTATGAACCAACTGGCATGATTCAAGCGAACCGGCTCGTGTTTCATCAGAGACTTCAACAGCCGCAAGAATCTGTGTTCGAGTACATCTCGGCGCTTCAAACCTTGGCTGTGGCCTGTGCATGGGGCAATTACTACAATCAGGCCATGGAGTCTCAGTTTATCGTCGGAATCCGACACCAGGACACAAGATCCAAGATTATCGATTTGGGCAACCCAACTTGGCCCGAAATGAAGACGCTGGCACTCAAAGATGACACCAAGCGGACTCAAATGCGCTCGTTGGCGCAGGCTCAAAACCAGATCCAGCAGCGTGTGATGGCGGTCTCCAAGTCCGAAGAACCCAAGAGTGTTCCTCCTCAGCAGAAGTTTAAGCCCCATACCGGAGGAGCTTCGGGACCTCCGAAGGGAGCTGCTGGACCTGCGAAAGGAGCTTCTGGGCCGTCGAAGTCTACACCACCCCCTCAAGGCTCGGGCACAAAGTTTGGGCCTTGCCATCGGTGTGGTCGCCGACATGATGTCAACACCTGTCCGGCGATCAACTGGACTTGCAAGTCTTGTGGCAAGAAAGGTCACGTAGCACATAGGTGCCCAACGAAACCAGTTCCAGTTAAAATGGTTTCCGTTCCCCCTGAAGGTGAGGAGGAGCAAGACCTCGACCAGTGGGTGGAAAAACTTTTACAGTTGTAATTTTTCATTGGTGTTCGATAACATTATGTTTTTGGTTTGACAGACTCTAAATTGGGCTCTCGGGTTTGGGCATGGCTCAAATCCCGATCTCGTAGACTGGGAAAGTTTTTTGTGAGAGATCGTCCTTCTTCGGAGAGTGAAGTGTTTACCCCTGGTGACAATACGGAAGTTAACGTGTTTATTTCATCATCAAGTAGCGCGCCCTTGTTGGTGGAGATTTCCGTGAACAACAAACTCATCACTATGGAGGTAGATTCCGGGGCAGGTGTGTCTATTGTAACAAAGAAGTTTCTAAAAAAACATTTTCCTACCTTATCATTAGTTCCTACTAATATTATATTGAGTTCTGTGTCTGGTCCCATTTCTGTATGTGGAGAAGTGTCAGTCCCTGTCATTATTCAAAACAAAAGTTATCAGTTAACTTTTATTGTCTGTGATACAGTCATCTATGATACTCCCTTATTGGGCCGACCATGGCTCGATGCTCTAGTTCCTAAATGGAGAGACATCATGTCTCCTACCACTTTGATTTCTGTCATTTCTCCAACCAGAGTTCCTTCGCTGGAAGAACTCAAAGGGTTATATCCAAAGATTTTTGATCCCAATAATGATAACCCTATTGTTGGTTTTTCTGCTGTGCTAGTTTTAAAAGATGGTGCCACACCAATTAAACATAGAGCATACAAATTAGCCTTTGGCTTAACTGATAGTATTAATTCTATATTAGACCAAATGGTACAGCAAGGGAAGGCCATTCACACTAGACATGCTGAATGGGCCTCTCCCTCTTTTCCTGTTGCAAAGAAAGATGGTTCTTACAGATTAGTAATTGATTTTAAAAGGTCACTCAACCCTCAACTCAGAGTGGACCATTATCCTATTCCGTCCCCAGAGGAAATTTTTTCTGATCTCAGTAAAAGTGCCTTGTTTGTTTCTCTGGATCTTAAAGATGCATACATGCAGTTACCTTTATCACCTGAATCTCAGGAATTGTGTACCATGGCCACTCATCGTGGCTTTTACAAACTTTTACGTTTACCCTTTGGTATTGCATCTGCAGCAGCAATCTTCCAATCAGTGATGGAAGAAATTGTTATGAACATTCCTAATGTTAAGGTTTACCTTGACAATATATTAATCCATGGTAATTCTACCGCAGAAGTGGTTCAAAATACTCATCTAGTGCTATCACGCCTAGAAAGTCACAATGTAAGACTGAATTTATCCAAATGTGATTGGTTTGTACCTAAGTTAGAATTTTTAGGTTTTGTTATTTCTCAACATGGCAGGCAACCTGCACCTTCTCTAGTCAGAGGTATTGAAATGTGTTCCATCCCTAAGGATGTAAAACAACTTAGATCTTTCCTTGGTATGGTTAATTTTTATACCATATTTATTCCCCAATTTGCTACCATTGCAAAACCCTTGTTTAACTTGTTAAAAGCAGACAGCAAGTTTATCTGGAGTCAATCTTGTAATGAAGCCTTTCTAAAATGTAAGGAGCTTCTTAAGTCAGACAAGTTATTACTGCATTTTAATCCTAACTTACCAATAGTGGTCTACACTGATGCAAGTCCCTATGGTGTAGGGTCTGCACTTTGTCA